TGGAGTGAGATCTCCATCGTTTTAGGGTAATTACATCTTGTAGTGCTGAAGTCAGTGAGGCTGAGGCGATGACACACCAGGCAGCAGTAAGAGTCTGGTTTGTAAAAAATAGAAATCCAATTCAAAGGGTTTGGTTTAAACAAACACCACTGAACTTCACTGGAGTGGCCCCTCCAAACACCACAGATGCAGAGTGGACACAAACAAGGGAGGACAGGAAACCAGGACCAAATATGGAGCACCAGAAGTCAACAGTCCGTTTTCAATATGTGTATGCAGACAATATAATGAAGAAATTCAACACAGACAACACTCAGTTATTCCATTAAGGTCTGCCTAGTTCTGGGAGTTTGAGTAATTTTTACAAATCCAAAAATAAATTCTATATAAATGATCAAAGTTGACGTTAAAGCAATGGTTATTGTTTACTAAAGCTAACGTAGATCCATTGCTTACCTTTTTGAATTGTTGGCACAGACAAGGATCACACTGCAGCCTTATCGGAGCGCATTTCTGTCCGTCTTGTCCTAAATCCACCTCTGACCCAATCCTCTGCCTATTCATCGAGAGAAGATTGTATTTCAGACATTTACCAAACGGTGTTCTTTATATCAAACAGTTATTGTTGTTAGACTAACACAGGCCTCCAGTGACCTTTGAATCCTCCTACACTGTCTGTGGAGCAACACTCCAAATAAACCCTGGCCACTGTTTGTGTAGCCTTGGTATCTGGCATGCTTTCATACGCTGTCTTCATCCATTTTTAGCTGTGTGACATCTCTCCCACTCACTCTAACCATGAGCCGCCTGACGTCAGTGTGTCGAGGCCTCACAGAGGCCTGTGTGGTGTGTGTGTCTGTGTGTGAGAGAGAGTGTGTGGGATGAGAGGCTGCCGGGGTTTCTCTGGAGCTCCCGTATTACTCACAGTCTGGCAGCCTGAGGCAATGCCACCACTGAATTTGTGGGGAGGATAGGGTCATCAGTGCCCACAGAATAACCCAGACAGACAGATCCTTGCTGTAGCTTTAGATTTGTGCAAACAAATATATGTAATTACATAGAGATCTCTAATATAAAACTTGTATTAAAACTGCAACACATTCAAAGCCATAATTAATGAGGTAACTTTTATGTGCTCGGTGTAAATACAATTTTATTTATCAATCACTTCCTGCAGAGGTAATTTCTTCTTTACTCTTATATTTCTTATTTCTAAACAGAATAACAGGCCCTGACTCTCTATTTAACCACAGAATCCAGTACAAACCAAAGGCCGTGCCACAAACTAACAGGGACCAGAAACTAAACTATTTTAGTTTAGATATTAGTTACCTGTTTAAAAAGAATGGTCATCAAGTACGGCAAAAAGTTTGTGCAGTGGTCGGTCGGTCAGTCTGTCTGTCTGTCTGTCTGTCTGTCTGTCTGTCTGTCTCCCCTAATGCTGTGTGCCTTAATCAGTGTCATCACACTCACCTGTGGTTGTCTGTTAATCAGCCTCACTGGTGTCACCTGGTGCCCTGGGTTAATATACCTCTGTCCCTCACTCTGTCTACATCGTTGTCAGACCTGTTGGTCTTTGTGTCGTTCATACCTTGAGGGGGTTGAGCAATGAATAAACTTCCTGAAAGTAAGAGCTCCCTCTCTAGTGCTGCACTTGGGTTCCACCTGCTTCTGGACTTACTGTATTAGCAGAGTTTCCATCATTTTTTTTTCATCAGAACTCTTAATCTTTTTTCCTTTTCTATTCTGTGATGTTCACTTTTGACATTTTTGCAGAAAACACAGACTTAAACTCAATCTGAATTTGCCCTCCTACTGTATCCACACACGTCTCCTCCTGTGACACACTCGGCCTCCTCTGTGAAGACAGTAAAAGGTTGAACAGAAAACTGTTAGAACATCTGGGAGAGATAACACAACTGGGCCATGATGGATTGTGTGTGCAGCATCAAACACACTGTCCACACATGTGATGCTGAGAATGAGCATTTTTATAGCTCCTCTCATGTAGAGCAGCAGCACTCAGGTCTCAGGCTCTGGCTGGCTTCATTTACTCTGGT